TGTGTGTGTCTGTGTGTGTCTTTAAACTTACACATCTTCCTCCCTGTTGTCGGTATTAACTAGCTAATTATTATTTTCAGTGTCTCTATTCAATTATACAGATTTTAAAGACACGATAACTACAAACTGGCACAAGTTCAGTTCAAATACTGCCATGAAGTCTCGTATATGAGATTTCAGCAGACCGCTGTGGGTGCGTGAATTCGCCCTGAGAGAAGGAGCCCTTGCAGCTGCGATATGTCTCACTAATCCATCATGATCCCTAACCCCGGTGCTGCACGTACAAAAGACGGAGGGAGTGGGAGAGGACAACTTAAGTTCAAGAGACCAGGAGAACAAATGAGAGGAGGACAGAGAGAGGGACACACGACCCTCCACATACTTTGAGGGAGTTTGGAGTGAATATATTAGGCGGTGTGGTGTTTAAAACCTGTCGCCGACTGAGCATTTAGATAACACGATCCTGAAAACTACATATTGTTTTCCATTCTGGCACACAATGGGCCGGCAGAGTGGCAGTAACAGCTATCGTATCGTTTTGTGAAAACACTGTTTCATGCTGCGATTGAGAAGCCGGACTGCCCACAATAAACCGGGAGCAGTGGGCCTAGTTTGACTTGTCTTCACGGCCTGGTATATAAATCCACTTCCTCTGTTTACCGAACATCCGATCTTAATAACGGTGATTTCAAAATGGCACAGTTGGTTCTGGTGTAGCGAACAAACCTCTGCACTTCTTCTTACCCCGAATAACGCGATGTGAACAGCGGCTCTGTAAACGTGTGGTCATACTGTCTTCAAAGGGCGCAGCAATTACAAAAAAAGCCACAACAAAATGTCTGTTTTCAATGCTGTTGCAAAGGTGGCTGCTTTAGTTTATGATTAACCCAAAAGGTTGTGAAACAATCGGTGGAGTTTCTCCATGGGGCAATCATCAACTGTATCTGCTCCGCTCCATAAAAGATCTACCCGACCTGGTGCCCCACGTTTTTATTTAAATAAATCCATGCCCTTGCTTGAAGCAGGAGTTCGGCTCTCGGTTAGACGTGTGGTGACAATGTGATAACAGCTCGAGCTTGACTCCCAGTTATTCTGTACGACACATTCAGCACTGGGAACGAGGCGCCGTTGGCTCGGTCCACGCAGCTTTACTCGCCCAGATCTGACCCCCGTTTGTAGCCTCCGTACGTTACTTTGTGATGCGGTCACATTTCCGACACAAACCTCAGTGGGAGAAAGTTGTGTTTTGTGTCTTCTGAAGGTGTTTTTGTGATCGCAGAAACGTCTTCTGTTCGCCCGTTCAAATAAAATGTTTCTCAGGGAACAAACCGGTGTATATTTCCACAGACTGCACCAGACACAGCTCAGACAGAAGACTTAATGTACATTTTAGTGACGAGGACATGCAGAGCGGAGAGGTTCAATCTGTGTAGACAAATATCGTAACATTTACGTCGTTTTCTAACATCTTTAAGATCACAAAAATACCTTTGAAGGACGCAAAACCTGCTGCTGGACACAGAAATAATGTCACTTTAGCATTTAGTCCCAACACTGACTGATCCCACTCTCAAATGTGACGTGTTTTATAACTTTTTAAAGTTTTTATACAAAGGTAAACTGAGTATCTTTCCTGTTGGTTGGAGAAAGCAAGCAATCACCTTAACTCTGGAAACTTGTGATGGGCATTTTTCA